CTTAGCCTTTTGAGTCACTGGGATTATGAGCATGCATCACCACAACTGGGTATAATTTATTTTTTAAAAAATTCACCACTTAGTAGTAACTATTACCAATAGAATGCTTACTAAATTCCAGACTTTTTCTTTTCTTTTCTTTCCTTCCTTCCTTCCTTCCTTCCTTCCTTCCTTCCTTCCTTCCTTCCTTCCTTCCTTTCTTTCTTTCCTCCTCTTCCTTCTTGTACTAGGAATTGAACCTAGGGACACTGTGCCACTGAGCTACATCCCCCATTCTATTATTATTATTATTATGGTACCAGGGATTGAACTCAGGAACGCTGGCACTGAGCCACATCACCGGACCTGTTTTTGTATTTTATTTAGAGACAGGGTCTCACTGAGTTGCTTAGCACCTCACTTTTGCTGAGACTGCCTTTGAATAGGTGATTCTCCTGTCTCAGCCTCCTGAACCGATGGGATTAACAGGTGTGCACCACTGCACCCAGCTTATTTCTTTTTAATTTTGAGACAAGGTCTCGCTAAGTTGCCCATGCTGGTCAGGTATCAGGCGTTCACCAAAAAATCCTGACAAATTTCTGGTTTTTTCTAAGCTTTTTATAAATGAAAATTTCCAAACAACTCTGTAAGGTAGGTACTAATACTATCAACACCATTTTACAGATGAGGAAACTGTGGAACAGAGAAGTTGAGGAACTTGCCAGTAAGTTGTGGAGCTGAGGGGCTGGGGTTGTAGCTCAGCGGCCAAGCGCTTGCCTCACACACGAGGCACTGGGTTGATCCTCAGCACCACATAAAAATAAGTAAAATAAAATAAATATATTGTGTCCATTTACAACGAAAAAAAAAGTTGTGGAGCTGATATTTAAGCCCAGGCATTCTGACTCCAGAGTCTATGCCTGTCCCTCATATTCTACACTGTAAGTGTGTAGAGAGGTCTGGAATACAAGGCAATTCCAGAGAGGCAAGTAAGATGGGCCTGAGATGTTCAAGAGGACAGCATCTAATTTAAAAAAGAATATCGTGTTCTAGTTGTAGTAGTTGGACACAATGCCTTTATTTTATTTTTATGTGGTGCTGAAGATCGAACCCAGCGCCTTGCACGTGCTAGGCAAGCGCTCCACCGCTGCGCTCCACCCCAGCCCTGGGACAGCATCTTTTTTAAATACTGCAGTATTAAAATTTAAATAAAATTTTTTGACAGGCCAAGAAATTCATGTATTATTGTTTAATTAAAAATACAAAAGGGAGCTGTCTCTCCCTCCAGAGATAGTCTGCATTCAGAATGCTTTCCCAAAGGCTTCTCTCTTGAGATTGCTCCCATTCTCCCTTAAATAGGTCTCTACTTAAGGGCACTTAACCATTGAGTCACATCCCCAGCCCTTTCTATTTTTAATTTTGAGACAGGGTCTCAGTAGATTCCTTACAACCTCAATTGCTGAGGCTGGCTTGGAACCTGCCGTCCTCCAGCCTCAGCCTCCCGAGCCGCAGGGATTACAGGCGTGGGCTGCTGCGCTCGGCACACTTCAATTTTTAAGTTTATAAAAATAGAGAGGTTCATTATATTCGGTCAAATACTCAGCGCGTGCCCACCAAGTGTCAAGCGCGGGGCCTGGCAGCTGTTGCAGCTGTGGATCGGAGCATCCCCACCTCCGCTTTCTTCCTCGTGATTGGCTGCTCTTCGAGCCAATGGCGAAACAGTTCTCGGTTCGCGGACACCTCAGGCAGCTTCAGCGAGAAGCCGCTTCCCCAGTTCGGCTTGTAGGCGGCGCTGTGGGTTCACCAACTACTGAGTCACGCACAGACCTTGTCCCCACCCTCTCTGATTCTTTCAGACTCTCAGGAATGGATACAGAATGTCTCCCAGCACCTTCACCCTCTCTGCACAATTCCTCAGTGGCTTTTTCTGCCTGTGCATCTTTCCCAGGCGGTTTCAGAGCCCCACGCCCCGCCTGGTGCCTCCTCTGGCTCTCTAGCTGGTGTGACCTCCAGCCATTCGGGCCCCCAGGGCAAAGCTTGGGAAATCTTGATACCGGCCCAAGCCAGCAGCCGGCACTTCTCTGGGTCGGCTATTTGTTTACTCGATTGTTTATTTATCCTGGAGTGGAGGCTAGCCGGGTGCGCGGGGGTGGCTGCCCGCAGGGAAGCCTGCTTCCTGTCGTTGGCTTGCTCAGCTGCCATTCGCCTTCTTGCTCACTGGAAAGAATCGCGGAGCTGGGAAGGCCCTCCTAGGTGGTTCCGTTCATCCAACAAAACGCTTTGCCTAAGCCTCTGCCTGCCTTGTTTTTGGATCTGCGTTAGAGACAACTGCCTGGGCTTGCCCTCACAAAACGGAAAAGACCTGTTACAAGACAAGGGTGACCCAGGGTGGACAGGGTTTGGGTAGGCCACTTACATGGTCTGTGGGATCCTGGAGGAGACATCTGACCCAGTCTATTGGGTAAGGGAGAGTCTCCTGGAAGAGGAGCATCTGTGCTAGCAACTGAAAGAAGGGTAGGAG